ACCCCTTCCAGGGCATGTCATGCGATTAATCTCTTCTGCGCACTGAGCTGTGTTGACTGGAGCAGTGTTGGGCCCAACGGCTGCCCTGACCCTGTAGTTCTCCACTGAAACCTCTGGTTTTAGGGATCACAGTGTGTGAGACCCTGACATACAAAAATGAAAAACAGAGCCTCCAAAAGGAAAGACCTACAGAAAGACGCATAACAACTGGAGACCCAGTCAGGGCTGGGACGTCTCTGATGCCTACCCCCACTGCCCTGGGCTGAAGAGTGGCTGGTGCGGTAGGTGAACCACAGAGGAGGAATGTGGGGAGACTAGAGCTGTCCCCATTCCCTGGAGCAGTTACCCCAGCCCCTTCCCCTCTATGGAGACTCAGGGTCCCTCAGAGGAGGGACATGGAGGGGCTTCACAGGCATATTGATGGCAGCCAGAAGCCAGACACAAAAGCACATGTCTTGTGACTCTGTGGATGCGGAATTCCGGAAGAGAAAGACAATCAATGTCGATGTAAATGAATCACAAGATTTCCTGGGGTGAGGAGATTGACTGCAAGGAGGGAGGACAGAATTTTCTGAGGAATGAAGATGTTCTCTATCTTGATTGGAATGTCATTCCTTGGAAGTTTACACCAATCAAAACGTGATCAGAATACTAAAAAAGAAGCCAGGCGTGGTGGCGTATGCCTGTAATCCCAGCACTCGGGAGGATGAGGCAGGAAGATCACTGTGAGTTCAAGACCAGCCTGAGCTACATAGTAAGTTCCAGGTCAGTCTTAACTACATAGTGAGACCCTGTCTCAAAAACAATCAAACAAACAAAAAAGAATACTAAAAAAGTGGGATTTTCACTGAATGTAAAAGGTACCTCAACCAAGTTGCTTCCATTATTCTGAGATAAGGTCTTACTGTGTTTCCCAGGCTGGTCGTCAACTCCTGGACTCAAGTTATTCTCCTACCTCAGCCTCCCAAGTAGCTGGAGCTGCAGATAGGTGCCACTGCTCTGCCTTTTTTTAAAAAAATGAGACAGATTGATACATACTCAGTGGAAGGCTTTTCAAGACCTAAGAAAACACAAACCAAGGGAAAAAATAGTGTATAGAAATAGATTATAAAGCCGGGCGTGGTGGTAAATGCCTGTAATCCTAGCACTCGGGAGGCTGAGGCAGGAGAATTGCTGTGAGTTCAAGACCAGCCTGGGCTACACAGTGAGTTCCAGGTCAGTCTCAACTATCTAGTGAGATCCTGTCTCAAAAAAAAAAAAAAAAAAAAAAAAAAAAAAAAAAAAAAAAAAAAAAGATTATAAGCTGGGTACAGTGGCTACAGTACCAGGGAATTATGTTGCATAAGGGATTTAATTTAGGCTGAGGGTCACAGGTCACTTCATTGAAGAAGCAGCTTAATTTCTCTGTGTCTCACCCCCCACCCACCAAGGATCAAACTCAGGACCTTGTGCTTGCCAGGCAGGAGCAGCACCACTGAGCTAAATCCTGGGCCCCTGTGTCTCATTTCTTAATGTGTAAAATGGGTACACCATTATAAGATCACTACCTCACAGGAGTGTAGTGAACATTACATAAATTAATTTGAGTGATGCCTGGTCCATCAGAGCTCAATGAAGGGCTCCTCGGTCAGCATGCACCCTAAAAGAGCACGGGATCCCTCACCCTACTCCCTCCCAGGCCCCAGACTCTCCAAAGGGTCACAATCATCTAGGATGATTCAAGTCTAAATGATGATGAGCTGTTCGTGGGGAGTAGTGAGTGGAGAGACACAGCCACCCACCCTTCTGTTTGATACAGGTCGTAGCTACACAGGCTTACACATATGTAAACAGTCATTGAGCAGAACATATTTACTGTATGCACATGTACTTTACTGTATGTATATTAAATGTTAAAGAATCTAACATCTAAAACTAATTTTTTTTAAAGACATGATCTCCTTGTATAGCTCAGACTGGATTTGAACTCACTGTGTCATCCAGGCTAGCCTCAAATGCATGGGGATCCTCCTGCCTCAGCCTCCCAAGTGATGGGATTACAGGCATGCACCATCAGGCCAGGATTTTTTTTTTTTTTTTTGTGATAGGGTTCCACTATGTAGTTTAGGCTGGCCTTGAACTCACAGCAATCCTCCTGCCTCAGCCTCATGAGTTCTGAAGTTACAGGTATTACCACCATGCCTGGCTATAAAACTGATAGAAGAAAATGATGGGGTGAATCTTCATGGCTTTTGGGTCTAACAGTGGATCCTTAGATTTGACCCTAGAAGTATGCATAACAAAAGAAAAAGTAGACAAACTGGACTTCATTTTTAAAATTTAATTTTATGCATCACAGAACAGTATCAAGAATACAGCCGGGCGTGGCGTTACACGCCTGTAATCCCAGCACTTGGGAGGCTGAGGCAGGAGGATCACTGCGAATTCAAGACCAGCCTGGGCTACACAGTGAGTTCCAGAGCAGTCTGAACTACATAGTGAGGCCCTGTCTCAAAAAACCAAAAATAAATAAAGAATACAAAGTGACATCCTACAGAATGGGGGAAAATGTTTGCAAGTCACATATCTGATAAGGGCTTAGTATCCAGAATATACAAAGAACAAGTACAATTCAACATTCAAAAACATAGCCTAATTGTGGGTAAAGGACTTGAATAGACATCTGTCCAAAAATACAGTATTTGTATGAAACTAAGAAGCACACAAAGAAATGTCTCCAATCATTAGGGAAATGCAAATCAAAATACAATGAGTGATTATTTCCTACCCACTAGGATGTGTTTAGTTTTAAGAATGGAACTAGGGCTGGGGATTTAGCTCAGTGGTTCTGGCAACTGCCTTGCAAGCACAAGGACTTGAGTTCAATGCCCAGTACCGAAAAAAAAAAAAAAAAAAAAAAAAAGGAACTAGCCAGGCATGGTGACACACTCCTATAATCCAGCACTCTGGAGACTGAGGCAGGAAGACTGCAAATCAAGCACAGCCTGGGAAACTGAAAGCTTGTCTCAAAATAAAAGATAAAAAAGGGAGGTCAGTGGTAGGGCTTTGGACTCGTTCTCCAGTGCTGCAAAAATGACAAAACAAAAAAGAAACTAGCAAGGCCTGGTAAATATTTGGAGAAATTTGAACCCTCACACATTGCTGCTGGAAGTGTAAAATGGTGCAGCTACCTTGGGAATTAGTCTGGCAGAACCTCAGGAGGTTATCATATGGCCCACCAACTCCACTGACCCACAATTCCAAGAGAAATAAAAATGTATGTTCACACACAAAAAAAGTATATTCACAAAAAAAACTTGTACACCAATATCCATAGCAGTACGATTCTTACTAGCCAAAACACAGAAGCAACACAATGCTCACCAATTTATGCATAGATAAACTGTGGTATATACACACTGTGGAATATTACTCAGCCATAAAAAGGAACAAAACATTGACATATAGTACAATAAGAGTGGACCTTGAAAACATGCTACGTCAAAAAGTCTAGACGCAAAAGCTCACATATTGTATAATTCCATTTACGTGAAATGACCAGAAGAGGTAAAGCCACAGAGATAGAAAGTAGATTAGTGGTTACCAAGGTTTGGGGGAAGGGAGCAATTGGTGATTACTTAATGGGTATGGGGTGTTTATCTGGAGTGATAAAAGTTTTGAAAACCAGAAAGGTAGTGGTTGCACAACATTGTGAATGCACTAAATGCCACCTAAGTGTACACTTAAAAGTGGTTAATTGTATGTTATGTGAATTTCGCTTCAATTAAAAAAATAAACTTCAATTTAGAAAGAGAATAGAAACTGAAAAACATCAACATCACCTCCAAGGCCCTGGTGTCCCCGAGAACCTACTAGATGATTCCTTTGGTTTCACTGTAGCCCCCATACATGGGACTTTCTGGGGCTCATAAGGCTGCCAAGGAACAGTGGCAGGATCTTCGAGGCCCCCCAGGTCCCAGCAGTCTCCGCGGTCCCTGGTAGGAGCCAGTGAGGTCAGGCACCAAGAACGTCTGTGGGCCACAAGGCAGGAGTTGGTGACTGAGGAGCTTGGAATGTGCTGCCTCTGAAAAGGCCTCTTGTGGCTCCACCAACGGTTAGAGCAGGAAGGGACTTTCAGAGTCACGTACTCACACACACACACACACTCTCTCTCTCTCTCTCTCTCTCTCTCTCTCTCTCATATACACACTCGCAATTTACTCACGTGAATTTATTTTCACTGTCAAATTCTTACGATAGGCTTGCTAAGCACGTGATGCTATTTTATTTCTATTCTTGTCATTATGCCTCTATTTTACTGATTGATGAGAAAGCAGCTTCAGAGGTAGGCAGGCTAACCAGAATTCAAACCCATAACCAGATTTGTTTAAAAATTCTCATATCCATTTCCTTTCCCCATCTCTTCTACTCGCTCCTCTGTCCCCCTCCCTTCCTCCCTCTTTCTCTAAACACACACACCCTTTATAGTTCTCATTCGGGTAAACTGTGGAGGTTTCTTTTCTTTTTAAAGGAAACATTGAGTGGAACCAGGGCATGGGAAGGGCACTAGGCTGGTAATCAACTGAGTGCACAGAACGTTACAGCTTACAAAGCACTTTCACATTTGTGACCTCATTTGATCTTCCAGCAGCCTTATGAGGTCAGCAGGAGGTGCAATTGGGACTTGGGGTCCAGGAAGGTGAGCTGCCCTGGATCACACAGACAGAAAATGTTAGCTCTGGGACTAGAACCCCAGGACTCTGGCTTTAAGTCCTGAGAGGACCCACAGACCCCTGGCCTCCATTTCCAGGAAAATAGCCCAGGACAACCCGCCACCCCCCACCTCACCCCCTGGCAGAACTAGAGTTGATCAGTTGAAGGTACTGGTGGAAGAGTAGCAGAGTCCAGTCTTCCTGCTTTGTGACCCTAGCAGCGCTTTTCCCCAGGCCTCAGTCTTCCATCAATAGGCTGGGAGGATGCAGAGGCATCGGAGAAGACCTCTCCACATTAACATTCCGTACATGCGGAGAGCTGTCCATGAAGCTGTGAGGAGTTTGGAAAATCTTGGCTGAGCCTGGGATCGGACCTTCTGCAGCCCTGACTCAATCCCCTGCTTTACCCACTCATTAGAGACCTTGGGACAACCCATTTCAACAACTCTCAGCTTCACTTTCCCTTTCTGTACAATGGGAGGATGATGGTACTTATACTTTTGACACACTCTCCAAACAAGGATGGTGACACATAGTCACACGTTCCTGGAAAAGTACTGACAGTCAAGAAAGCTGATGTTTATCAAATTTTGTCTCAGCTCAGACTTTCACTGTCTGTAGGCTCTGAATGAAAACCGATTATCCTGAGTAGCACAGCTGTATTTCATTATTATATCTGCAGCATATCAAAGCATCACCTTGTTTATTTTTTGCTTTCTTTTTTCAATTTGTTTATTGTAAGCATTTAAAAATACCAGCATTTCTTGGTAGGAATGTAAACTCCTACAACTACTATGGAGATCAGTATGGAGATTCATGAAAAAAACTAAAATTAGAAATCCCATTTGACCTAGCTATTCCCCTCCTAGGTATCTTCCTGAAAGAGTTAAAGACATATTACAGAGAAACGTACATACCCATGTTTGTGGCAGCACAACTCATAATAGCTAAGTCTTGGAAGCAGCCTGTATGTCCATTAACAGATGAATGAATAAAGAAAATGTGGTATTTACACACAGTGAAGTACTACTCTGTCCTAAAGAAGGATAAACAAGTCATTTGTAGGAAAACAGATGCACCTTGAGATCATAACGTTAAGTGGAATAAATCAGACACACAAGCTTAAATACCACATGGTTTCTCTTATATGAGAAACCCAAATTATAAGTAAAGAGCAAAATAAAAGATAATAGGAAGTAGAGATAGATCTTTCTCAAGTGGGAAGGGGATCAAGAGATGAAGGGAAGGGAAAGGGAAGGGGGGAAAGGATGAAAAAAGGAGTTAAAATAAGTACATGTACCAGCTCCACACCAGGAATGTATGTACTGCATACATGTAGTAATAAATTTTTTTAACCTTTTGAGACAGGGTCTCACTATGTAGGTGAGACTGACTGGAATTCTCTATGTAGCCCAGGCTGGTCTCGAACTCACAGCGATCCTTCTGCCTCAGCCTCCTGAGTGCTGGGATCACAGGCGTGCACCACCACACCCGGCCTAAACTTTTTAAAATTACAACTTTTTTGTCCTTGGTTTGTCATTTATTCACTTTCTAGTACAGCTGAAGTCTTAATGCCCTTGGCGGACCTTCAGGTCACACTGAATGGCAATTGAGATGAATCTTGGCATTGGAAATAACAATCCAGTACATAATAATAACTGTAATAAAAATCACACTTATAATTCCCTTTGTAGTTTCCAGACAGCTTTTACATTCTTCATTCCGACACGGGACGCCCGGGACGCGTGCGACAAGGTAGTTAGGGGAATATTTTGTCCTGATTTGTACAAGTAGGAATCCGAAGCTAGAACCGGCTGGGAGAGGGCAAAAAGGGCCTCCGCCAGGTGCGTAAATCAGCAGGGGAATCCTCAGCTCCACCTAGGCGCGGCGAGGAAATTGCACCATATATGGGCAGCTACGTCAGAGGGGGCAGGCCGGTCGCGGTAGCTGGGGGACGCCAAGCCTGCCCGTGCTGCCCAAGAAAAGGCGGCTGCCCAGTGTAGGAGGAATCGGAGAGTTCGGTGCGGACTGGCGAAAGGCGGTGGTTTGGAGAGGTGGGGCCCCGAGGTGACCGCGCCGCTGAGAAACGTCCCCACCCCCCGCGGTCGAAGTGGTTCAGCCCGTGAAATTTTCATTCATAAAAAGAAACGACTG